AACTTTTACAGGGCGTTTGTATCCCACTACTCTGATATCGCCCGACCACTTATCAATCTCACTCGGAAAGATCAAGTCTTCGCTTGGACGACTGACGCTCAGGCCCTCGTTCGATAAACTCAAGCCATGTTTACAACGAAACCGGTGCTACGAAACCCTGACCCTACCGACAAATTTGCCCTTGCCACTGATGCCTCCCTGGTAGCAACCGGGCTGTACTCCTCCAGACGGACGAAAAATGGCATCTACCACCCCTGTGAATACATCTCCCAATCTTTCACCCCGCTGAACGAAACTATGAAATCTTCGATCGCAAACTTCTTGCTATTATTCGCGCCCTCAATGAATGGCGTCACTATCTAGAAGGAAACCCCCATCCCATTTCGTCTTCACCGATCATTTGAACCTTCTTTACTTTTCGAAAGGCGAAGATAACTCTCTCGGAGGCAAGCACGTTGGCAGCCTTGTTTTATCTAATTATGACCTGATATTACATCACGTCCCCGGAACCAAACTTGCAGCGCCTGACGCACTTTCTCGCCGCCCAGATCATGGTCTTGGTGAACACGACAATGAGGATCATGTGCTCCTTCCAGACTCCATGTTTATACGGTTGATCGATGACGAACTTTCCGCTGCCCTCGCACGGAATTCCTGGATGACCCATTTTCTCCACGGCCAGCGACGCCCTAGATGGGCTCTGCCTACCCCCTATGAAATCAGCCCTCTCCGACTGGACAATGTCTGGCGGAGTACTTTATTATAAGTCTCGCGCCTATGTGCCACCGTCCCACCGGGCGGCCATATTGCTCCGTCACCATGACCATCCCACTGCCGGGACATCCCAGACGGTTCAAAACTGAAGAACTTGTCAAGCGTCGACTACTGGTGGCCTGCAATGGGCACTTTTATTCGCTCCTATGTCGCCTGGTTGCGCTCTCTGTCAGCAGATGAAAACTGACACTCACCCCGTTTCGCCACCCCTTGTCCCCTATTCCCTCCTCTGCTACCCGCCCTTTCTCCCAGATCTCTGTTGACCTTGTCACCGACCTCCCTAGTGTCCAATGGTTTTGACTCCTCATGGTCGTGGTAGACCATGGCCTTACGAAGGGGGTGATTATTTCTCCCTGTAACAAGAACATATCTTCTGAGGGAGTAGCCTAAACTTATTCTTCAAAACGTATTCAAACGCTTCGGACTCCACTGAAAAGGTGATCTCTGATCGAGGCCCCCAGTTCATTTCTAGGTTCTCTAGAGAATTAGCACGCCTCTTGGGATACCAGATCGCTGCCTCCACGGCATATCACCCTCAGACCGACGGACAAACCGAACGGCTCAACCAAGAAATAGAGAACATACCTCCGAATATACTGTAGGAGTAACCCCTATGAATGGTCAGACCATTTACCCCTCGCCGAATTTGTGCACAACCACCGAAGACATGAAGCAAGGAACGCATCACCGTTCTTCCTCATGATGGGATACGAACCTCGCGGTATTCCCCACGTACTACCATCGTCGGATACCCCTGCCGTAGAAGAAAGGGTTCGCACCCTCCAAAAGATCAGAGAAGAAGCCATCTCTTGCCACAATATCGCCATGCAACGAATGGCAGAAAGGACGCACGGAAAGAAGTACCAACCGTGGAAGATAGGAGATAAGGTCTGGCTATCCGCAACCAATCTCATGACCACTCTCCCATCCAGGAAACTTGCGCCCAAACAGCACGGACCGTTCTCCTATAACCGCAGTCCTATCGCCCATCACGTTCACCCTGAAACTTCCTGAACAATGGAAGGTTCATCCCACGTTCCATGCTTCCGAGCTATCCTCCTATCAAGAGACAGAGATTCACGGACCGAACTACGAAGAACCACCTCCAGATATAGTCAATCAATTGGAGGAATACGAAGTTGAAGCCGTCCTGAGTCATAAGGGCACGGGTAAACGAAGACGCTATCTCGTATCATGGAAGGATACTCTTCTGGAAGCAACGAATGGATTCCAGCGGAGAACATGGAAAACGCCGGGGACCTACTTTCCGCCTATAAGAAGAGGCACTAAGTTGAACTGAATCGACCAGTCCCCACCGTCATACAAAACATGTCTTCTCAACAAACTACCTCCCCTACTGAATCCAATGTCTCCTCCATCAGCCTCTGTGAATCCCCCTTTGCCGACAACGTTGTCAGCATTGAAGACGACGTCATCGTCGAGACCACCATCCTTTCCGTTGCCCACGCCCTCGAAATCGAAACCTATCTCAACAACCAACCAGCAGTGCCAGCTGGAGTCGCCTGCCACCTATATCCATATCATCAGAGCCTACCCAACGTCTCGAAGAAGAATTTCGCCCAGATCGAGAACGACGCCCTCCGACTCTCCTGCAACCACGTCCAGCGGCGCATACGCTCGCTTACGCTTCAGCTATTCCCTCTTGGTTTTAGCACTATCTGCAGGGAAATTATACAGACTGTTGCTGATCGAAACTCCTTCCAAGTCGGCCGCCCGTTGCCTCCTATTACTCACAATCCCCCCGCTGTTCTACCTGATCCAACTTCGATTGGAGGGAACCTTGCACCAATACCTATCCCAGCGCCCAACGAGGTCTATAAGAAGAAACCTCCGTGGCGGAGCCGCCATTCACGGCGTAACCAAGAAAAAGTCATCCAAAGGAAAGAAGCGCGAGGTCATCGACCTCACCACAGAACCCCCCGCTATCCCGTCCTCCAGCATCACTATTAGAACCCCCTCAGTTGAAACAGGTAGTCGGCACTATCGCCGACGCCAACTTTATCTGCCGGGTCTGCAAGAAGCTTGGTCACAAGCACAAGAACTGCCCCTGTACTATTGTCGCGTCTGCGGCGACACGAAACCCTGGGCACTTCTCCATCTATTGCCCCTTCACCACCAGCAAGATAGCATTCCCGTTGGTTTATACCGACGAAGGCTTCTACGACGCGTTAGCCTGCGTGGGAAGCGGAGAAAGATAAGAAAGAAGAAGAGGATCTTGAGCGTGCCAATAGGGAGTATTTGGTACAGCCAGAAGAATTGGAATTCCACAATGCCGACGCCGACCCCATCTACTACGCAAACCAGGACGACTAGTGACGTCGATGCCGGTGCCATCGACCATAACACGGGGGTAATGTTACGGTACATTCATTCTCTTCGTTTCTCCTTTGTTACCGGACAATGGTACATGGACACGGCCTTTAACGAGCGACCAATACTTTTCAGACTCTTACTCATATCATCGTCAAGCTAGCTTTCCGTGCTAGTAACCATCACTATGTCTAGACCATCTCTTATCAAAGCGGGCTGTCCGCACCATGGTTACTATCTCCTATCTCTTATCTCTTATCACTTACCAAGCGGGCTGTCCGCCTTCTATCTTGATACACATTTACAAGCTCCGCTTGAACTCTCGCTATATAGATACATAGCGTACCACATGTAGTTCCTCACTTTAATCTACTGGGTTTTACCTGGAACAAGTCCTTTAGCAAGGTCTCCAACCTTGCTATCTAAGAACCACCATTCTAAGGAAGTCGCCGATACTTGCCTTAGCCAGAAACCTTTGACCTCTCACTCGAGAGAAGAACCACGTCTGTCTCGCCGAATCTCAGTCCACTCGGACTAAGACAGCTCGACATACCCCAGTCGTAACAACAGCCATCTGAAAAGGGCCGCAAAAGAGAGGGAGGAAAACAAAATAGGCATTGGCTAATCTTGTACATCTTTTACAGTATCTTGAGAACACTTCAAGCTTCAAGTTCAGTCAGCACGGTGCTTGTACATATATAAGTACAATGATGGGGTATAGGCATAGGATGAGGATGGGAGATGTCATGAGGATGGGAGATGTCAAAATGATGCACGAAATCTGCCATTCGTCTTCCTTAATATCGACCCTCCGTGTACTGAATAGACATACCATCCATCATAAGAACTGAATCCACTATCTGGCCTGCTCTATGGTGGTATCAGTGTGCAATGACGTCCCAGCTGCCAATGCGGTAGTGGCAGGTGGTTGCTGCGATAATGATCGTGGAATGCTCTGCGTTGTTTTGCTGGATTGGCGCGTGATATAAGCATTGGGAGATCGAGAATCTGACTGTGAGGGTCTCTTCTTTTTTCTCGCATGATAGTTCCTCTGCGTGAAAATGAAACAATGGAAACAACCTAATATGAAGAAGAAAAACACACAGGCTGCATGGAACACTGACGTACAGAAATGAACTGGTCTGAATCTGACATTCGAACTGCCTTGCTATTCAAGTTAGCGCTGTAGAAAGTCGAGCAGTGATCAGATCACGTGCACTGTGACAGTTATCTAGCTCATGGGACCACCTGGATAGCCCGTTTGGGAAGCCTTATTAGGCTTAGCAATAGCGTGCCTCGTCAACTATATTTAGGCTCGGAAACGGTAATATCCAAACACCAGCATTAAATAACGCCCCAAATATTCTGATACCTTATATCTACTGTACTGTAGGCTATATAACCTAGCTGGCGCGTATCCTGCCTTGTCCCGCCCCACGCTTGATTCCAGCAGTTCCCGCAAATCACCCGTCTTGGTCATAGCGGTTGATCTGGCAGGTTCTCACGCCTCCTTCCTCCTACCCCCTGCACTACTGCACACTGCGTGCTGCTGCCGTCCCCTCTATAGCTCAGCAGCCATCACCCGGTGAAGGTACAACAATTCAGATGGTGAGTCTGAACAATGTTGGGTCTTGCAGAACCTAGCTGCTATTCGACCCTAAAGGGTTTCTGGACCAGGCTCAAGGCTCAGAGAAGAGGAAATATGATAGAAACTTGCTGAATACTCAGACTCATAGTAGAACTGGTGAAAAGGTAACTTGATTATGTAAGCTACAAAAGTGCAAACATAACACTAAGGTAAAAACAGTCTCTGCAAGCCCAGCCAGAATGAATCCCTACACCGGGCCATCACTGCCCTCTACAATGTCTGCTTCACCCCAAAACCCAGCGCCTCAGTGGTCTGTGCACCCCCAGCACGCTGCCTGCACCAACCGGCCTCCCACCTTATCATCCTTGCCCACCACTGCCCTCTACAACGCCCGCCCCAGCACTCAAGTGGTCTGTGCACCCCCCAGCACGCTACCTGCACCAACTGGCCTCCCACCTTATCATCCTTGCCCACCACTGCCCTCTACAATGCCCACCCCAGCACTCAAGTGGTCTGTGCACCCCCGGCACGCTATCTGCACCAACTGGCCTCCCACCTTATCATCCTTGCCCACCACTGCCCTCTACAATGCCCACCCCAGCACTCAAGTGGTCTGTGCACCCCCGGCACGCTATCTGCACCAACCAGCCTCCCAATTTATCATCCTTGCCATCTCCAACCATATTCCACAATGCCCAACTCTGCCTGGTCTCAGCTACTTGCCTACACACACTCATCACTTGGGGATTGCACTGTTCATATTCTGGACGTCTCAGGTACTCGCATACGCCCACAGAGTCATCGCTTGGGAATCGCACCATTCAGATGTCAAGTTTCATGGACATGTCAACACCGCCTCTGCCATCCTGTCAATTTGCTGCTTTCTCGAGCGTGCAGAACGACAAGAAGTTGCAGCTGTCAGCTTGGATGCAAGGAGGCAGCGGATGCAAACCGTCAGGCTCAAGTCCAAGGTGTGTCTTCTCATCCTTGTTGCTTGCTTCTAACTAACACTGATATCTTTTAGAGATGTATGCCATTGGGGGCCAACATATCATTGAAAGGACTTTCGAGTACCTGTAGCACGAGGACATCATTCATGGCACTTGAGAACTGTGTAGTATGTACATAACAATATATCATCATGTTCGTGACACACCACCCCCATTCCGATGTCAATGAGTGATGCAAGCTAACTGACGACACATCAAACTAAGAACAGGCTATGGCTTAACATTAGCTAAGTATAAGGGACCTCCCTCACTCCAATGAGCTCCACGAAGCAGGTGCGGGGCCAAACACTCGGTTTAAATCAGCCAACATCGCCTTGCTGTTGAAGGGGGGAATAATAAAGTCACTTTCGTCTGACGGCTGCTGCACAGGAGAATTGGAAGGCTGCGGAATGGAAGGAGACACAGGACCAGCAGCAGCAACACCAGCAGATGGGGCTGCTGTGTTGTGAGGCTCGGCTGGTTCTGTATCACTGCTGTCACTGTCCTCAACAGTCTCCATGCTCTTGTACTGTTTGCGACGAGTAGTTGCAGACATTGCTGCACCGCGGCGCTTCGTCCCTTTGTCAGATCGAGTGCGGCAACGGCGATCAATTATCTCACCACTCTCGAGCTTCTCTTTGCGCTCAAGACGGAGTTTCTCGAATTCTTTGTCACTCAAGGACCTCCAGAACGTCATACCTTGATCCCACCTATTGCAAAGCATCTGGAGGTCTGGAAGCGCACTCAATACTTGACTAAGATTTGTAAATGGAATTTTATCGGGCCATCCTTCCACAACGACCTGGTACCACTGAACAATGTTGCGGAAGTAATGCACCCATTGCATCTTTGCACCAGGCTCACCAGTACACTCTTCTATTAATAAAATTCAAATCAATTGATTGTCATGAAGGCAGAAAAAATACTTACGAAGCTTTCGGTTGATGGTGTCGCGGATTTCTGCACGTTTATCGGAGACATGTTTCTGGTGGTTTTTTGCAGAACCTGAATATAATCAGAAAAATATAGCAATAAGAACGAAGACACTGACCTTTCATACCCTGGACGGCGAAGCCTTCCATTTTACTCACTAAATCTTGATTATCAATCCCCATGACGGTATCCATGAAGTTCTCAACGCCTTGAGTGGCAAACGCGATACCTCGGAGGGGAACATCGGTAGATCCACGTGTAGTGTAGAGAATAGATTCTGCGCCTGTATGACAATGGAGGCTCTTGAGCTAGAACATGTGAGGCGATGTCAGAGACAAATTCAACAGAGAACATACCTCGTTTTCCACCGCCTTTAAGGTTTGCGTGATATCATTGATTTTTGACTTTGCCGTGGTACGGACTCCAGTCTTCTTCATCTCCTTCCACGCAGTAAACTCAGTGAGAAGGTCATCTTGTTCCTCCTTTGAGAGCGCGAGGTATTCAGACTTGTGTTCACGGACAAGTGTTTGGAGCACCACTTTACCATGGCTATCTGCAAAAAACAAATGTATGAGTATGATAGAGCACGACAACATGAATACAAATAAAAACTTACCATTCTCTTCATCTTGGTTTTTCTTCCAGCAGAACACATTCCATAAATTGGCCTTAGAGCGCTTTGAGCGGAGAAGTCCACGACCTATGTATAAATCATTTTGAACTTGGCGGATACTTTTATGGTGTGAAGTTGCAATTGTTTTGGTAGCATAGTCAAGCTGCTTCCATGTGTCATCTAACGCGTCCTTGAACCGAAGGGATTTGGCACATTGCTCGAGCCTGAGAGCAGCACGGGCTTCTTTACTGAGGACAACCTTTGGACGTCGACGGGCAGGTGGCTGAGTGTGTCTCGCAGTTGAACTGCGCTTGTTGGCAAAAAACAACTGGGCAACCATTGGCTACAAGCAAGCAGCCGAGAATTAGTCAATGACCCACAAATATTCATCTGACTATTTAACGCACTGAGAAAAGGTATTTTTCAAGTCCATTGCGGTTAGGGTCAAATATCACACTATTCCATACTAAGCAAGGCGGAAACATTTGAGATCTACAGTAATATAAAACAAAAAAGGTAAAGCGCACACAAACACACCAAGATGCTGAGGACCTTAAAAATGGTGCTAAGCACTGATGACTGGTGCTACGGACGGAAATTAATAATAATAAATGCAAAGAATGGAATACGACTAACCTTCGATTTGGCAACTTCAGGGTTGATATCCCTCATACCTACCTGTAGGTCTATGAGGAGGGCGTTAGACAAAATGGAAGCTTGTTTGTAAGTTAAGTCCCATGTTGGGGACCTAAACACTGCCTCCCATCGGCTGCTGTGAACTGTTCCGACTAATGTTCGAAGTTTCGGCAAATTCTCGTCACCTAACTTCAACCGATCAAGCACAGCATCTGTATGTGGCCTGAATAAGTGGCGACCCAACCATTGACAGATTGCAAGCGAGTTGTTGTCCCTGAGTTGGTGCTACAACAAGTGGGACCACCTTGGAAAATGCATCAGCCGGCCGGCATCGACGCATCTCCAAGCGTGGTGTCGATGGTGTAGTTCGGTTTGCAGATCTGGCAGCCAATTCGACACCATGACGAATGGCAGCAGAGTCCGAATGATGGAGAGGGGACTGCAGATTGGTGGAAAAGGTATTGGGGGGTTGCGCAGAGCATTGGATTCGAGCTCCTGTGGCAACCATAGGTGGAGGGAGGTGTCGTGGACCGGTAGCATTGATATTAGTTGCAGGGACTTCAACTTGTGTCAGCAATGCAAAGAATATAATAAACCTTTGTTTACTTACAGCGTCTACTGGGTTTCACCTTTTCAATGGCACAGCGGGCAGAAAAACGCTGCAAATGAGGTACTGCGAACTCTTGTGCGAATGCCTGTACTAAGACAGCAATATCTCCGCAAATTCGCTGCTGCGTTTCCTGCAACTCGTGTGGCATGATGTAGACATCAATAAGAACTTGTTCAGGGGAGAGATTCGGTGGAGTTTCACTGCCAGTGCATCAAATGAGAAGGGATATCCCGCCATCAAGACGGTCTTGCATGGTGAGCTGAAAAAATGTTGTGAGTTTTGAGAAAAGAAACAAGAGAATGACTGACTGCATCAAAGACATCCTGGGTGGCTGCCTCGAGCAGCTCACTGTGAGTAAGGGACCGCTCTTCTGCCTCGTTCACATTGCTTGACCGATTGAAGCTGATGTATGATGGGTGAAGACCCCCCAATGTTTTAGTCTGATAATGGGAGCCGTTGATATGAGCATCATGCCTGAGCAAAGCCCATGCAGCTGCTTGACGCTCATTGTTGCTGAAACCTGTGGCAAATGTAGAAGTATGATACAGCGCAGTGAGACCTGACATATTGAAGCAGCCGATCCATTCATCACCTGGAGATGGCAAAGATGCCATGGAGTACGATGGCTTGAAGGGCAGTTGAGATGGTGGATTCTTGCTAGATGCAGTGGAAACGGTCGTGTTCGCTAGCTCAACAAGTGCATGGTAGAAATTCAGAGTAATGGCGGCTATATTATTATGTACACATAGATTAGTGGCTACATGTACTATCCTAGAATGCAATGCCCAGCGCTCTATAGTTGTATGCTACATTATGGTGCTATAGTTTACTAGTACTGTACACTACATCTCAGTCCTGTATATAATATCTACTGCTATGGCGCTACAGATGAGATGTAATGTACAGCGGTAATCTATACTATAGCCCCATAATGTAGGATACTACAACTGTGTATTATCTATAGTATAGCGTATATATAATGTAGGCAACTGTGGAGTGGGTAAACAATTTTGGGTCAGTGTGGTTTTGAAGGCGCTCAAGGGTTCTTCATATCTTCATGCGCCTTCAAAACCACACAACCACACCGATCCCAAATTATTTACGAACCCTTGGGGGTAAACAATTTTGGATTGGTGTGGTTTTGAAGGCGCTCAAGGGTTCTTCATATCTTCGCGCGCCTTCAAAACCACACAACCACACCGATCCCAAATTATTTACGAACCCTTGGGGGTAAACAATTTTGGATTGGTGTGGTTTTGAAGGCGCTCGAGGGTTCTTCATATCCTTGTGCGCCTTCAAAACCACACAACCACACCGATCCCAAATTATTTATGAACCCTTGGGGGTAAACAATTTTGGATCGGTGTGGTTTTGAAGGCGCTCGAAGATACGAAGAACCCTCGAGCGCCTTCAAAACCACACTGATCCAAAATTATTTACGAACGGTATATGGTGCTATAGATTACCGCTGTACTGTACATTACATCTCATCTGTAGTGCCATAGGGTTACAACTCAGTAGATATTCTATATAGGACTTAGATGTAGTGTACAGTAGTAAAGTACAGCGCCATAATGTAGCATACAACTATAGAGCGCTGGGAATTGCATTCGACGCTGTACATTACAATATCTATTGAGTATCACACATCCGTTGCAAGTGTTTAGGGCAAAGTTATGAATTGCAAAGAGATATAGAACTAAAGGTACAAGCTGCGGTATGTACATGGTGCCTAAGTTAGTTGATGATCGACTGTAAAAAATCAGCCATGTCCTCCGTTAATGTGTCTTGCTCTTCGCGATCGATGGCATCCACGTCTGTATCCTCAGTATCAATGATTGGCGAGATATGCGCAAGATTTTTGGGTTGACCTGTGAAAACATTAGCACAACATCTGAGTTTGCCAATAAAACATACCACAGTCAGCAACATCAGCAGCATGCTCAGCGCGGGTACCAACCCCCCTGACTCCAGAAAAACTTGTGAGACTCTCAATGCGATTCAAGCGGTAGTGATGTACTGTATTAATAGCTGCACGCGGATGGTGTTGGCATTGCAGCTTGTGGCCTAGGTGTGGATCTGAAATCAGAAGTTCTTGTATGACGGTAAACATGTGAAGTTCTTCATCATGAATGGAGGTGTGCAACCGGCAGACTTCAACATTGAGTCGAGTGATTTCTTCACACGCTCGACAAAGTTTGAAGAATTTAGTGGTTGCTTCTCGATGTCCTGGCTTTGACCAATCACTGCTTCGAATATCATTGCGAGAATATCGCAGAAGATCAAATTCGCCTAGAAAACCATAATCAGCAATATCTTTCCAAGAGATCTTGGGACGTGGTGGATTTAGGGCTGCGGCCTGTGTGTTGTAGCAATTAATAGCATTACGGATGGCATCCGAACGACATTGTAGAGCCTTGCCGATCTGCTGATGTAGTTTGTACCCTAAAAAAAAACTCATTAGTATCAGTATTTCGGCAGAGATAAACTTACCTGTGCCCGATAACGACAGTTTGGAAAGTTCAAATAGCCTCATCACCACGAGACGCTCAAGCTCGTCTAGGGCAGTGCGGTACTTACCCAGAGACGCCTCCTCCTTAAAGTGTTGGTACTCTGGCCCACCGATCTCCCACCACTGGTCCACAGCCAATTGAATCTCGACATGTGCGACAAGCCCCTCAGCGTGCTGTAACTTCGCATAGGAAGAGTCCACGCGAATCCAAGCTTGGCTGAGGGCATGGTTGATCTCCTCTAAACTACTGGTGGGAATACTAGTCAGGGCATTATTGCCGACTTCCTGAGCTACATCCCAATCAGCACTAAATTAGTTAAATATCAGGGATGGGTTGTGATGACGGTATACAAACATTACTCACCGTTGTTGAGCAAGCTCATCGAGAACTTCGACATAGCGTATGCAGAGTTGGTCTCTGACTGGCGGCAGCTTCAATCCATCAAGATAATCACATTCGTCTTTGAGAAATTGAGAAAGATCTTCATCAGTGAGACATAGCTCAGCTTTGATGGTAGCTAGCTCAACAGTGAGCGTCTGAATAGAGTTTAGTGCCTCGCGATAGTGGTTCCAAATGAAATTGCCTGACAGAATCAGTGGCGAAATCAGAAGACTTAGGTAACAATATTTACTCACTGAGAGTGGCGTACTTGTCAGCATCCCAAAATGAAAAATGTTCTTTGATAGTCTGACGCCGGTGGAATGGACTTGCATGTCTTGTACTACGAGCAAGCTCATTTGATGATGAGAACACATGTTCGCACCCTTCGCCCTCAGTGTGTCCAGTTCCCGGAATGTACATGGGATGCCAGTCTAGCTGGCACTTACGATTATGGGCATGTCCATGAAACGCGCCCACCATGAGACGAAGGTTTAACTCGCGCGCTCGCATACCCAAGGAACTGTTTGTCAGCGTCTTTGAAAAAGCGCATCTGATATCATATGCACAGCCACCATTTTTCCCGTATATGGCGAGGAGCTTCTCAATTATAGCTAGCGGGTATTTTGCTCTACTGTAAATCAGCGCTAGTTAAGATGAGCTAAGAAAAAACTTAACAATTCTCCACTCCGTATCATGTCGCAGGCTAGAACAACAAATCTATGACAGCATGCTGCAATAAAGATCCTGGATTCATCGAAGACCGCAAACATTTTTTTGCGAGTTTCTGGACCAGCATTACGCCATCGGTTGACACAATTGAATGCTGGGATAGTGCCTTCGGCTGCGATCATTTCATCCTCCCAGTTATCATCATTTGTGTCCCTCTGCATGGTGTTACGTCGACTGTAGGTCGGCGTGTGCGAACTAGGATAGGTCTTCTCAGTGACGACTCGAGTGAGTCTACTGAAGCTGAGCATGGTCTGGCCTTGACGGAACGTCAAGGATTCCTCCGGCGATCTCGGTAAGACGGCGCTCGTCGAGATGCAGGGCTAGCGGATACGTGCAAAGTCGTACGGGGACAACGATGAAGTGCGGTCTCACACAAGGAAGCTGGTAGGCTTAGATGAGCAAGTTCTTGGTAGAACCTAGTAGATTAAAGTGAAGTATAATCTACAACAATGTATGTACTTATACATAGTGTATGTAAGTGTTCAAGCTCAGTCTGTAATCTATAGTATATCGTACATCTAAGATAACCAGACATGAGGTTAGATAAAGTACATGAGGCTTAACCTCTGATCATACATGCAGCGCCAAGTGCAGCTGCGCATAGGTACAGGAAGTGCCAAGCGCTCCGGGTCTTCATACATGAGGCGCCAGGGGCGCTCCGGATCTTCATGAAGCGACATGCTGTATACATGCGCTGATCTAGGGTGTCCATGAGGCGTACAGCCTCCATGGAACAGGTACAAGGCCGTCTAGGCCAGGGGCGGGGTCATAGCGCCTTGAGGCGGGGTCATAGCGGTCCAGACCGCTGTTTTTCTAGGCGCAGGTGGCGCACCGCTGCGCGGGGAGTCTAGCAGAGCGGGGGCAGGCGTAGGGAGAGCTGGGGCTCTAGTAGGTGTTACAGATCCCTGTAACACATGGTATGGTCAGACTATAGTTGCGCGAAGAGAGGCTCGTCTTACTTCTCGTGTTTTGACTTCATCCTTAAACAGGTCTACATCGCAGGGATCAAGCCAATAATCTGACTGTGCCTTACGAGAATCAATGCGTTGGTTTGAGCCATAAATAGTGGAGTCCCAGCGTTTCAAACTGTTATTGCTGTCGATGGATACCAGCCAATCAAATTCTAGCGCTGGCTCATCCTCTAGCTTATAGAAGCAAGCTGGGCATGAATTGAGCATGTGCCAGTCCAGCGTGTCATGATTGAGTGCTGCCGAAAGACGTTGTTTCACACGGTGAAGTATTTCTAGATAGACATCGTAAGCAGCCGAGAACTGTATGTTGAGGTATGGCCGATAGGGAGTCTATTACAGCATGTTTAGATCAGTCAAATAATGTAATGTACACGTACATCATGCAGGAAACAGAGACTTTTCACTTGGGCTTGAATGCTGAATCAGGGACATGATCGATGCATTTGACGGTATGCAGCAAGAGTGCGCAGCGAGATAGCAGCCGTAGGATATAGTGGCGCGCACCCGATGTAACCATGGTAGATTAAGGTCTCATTCGGGTATCTGTGGAAGGGTTGCGAGTGAAGTGAAGAGTGACTTCACTCTGAAAGTGAATTAGCACACATAGATTTGGAATGTTCATAAAACATACTGAAAAGGTCAATAAGTTCTATGTTAGTTAATGAAACACCAGAGGATTCATCTGGAAGTGGCTCCGCAGGCATGTCGTCAAAGGTTGGTAAACTGTCTCCAGAATCACGGAAATGGTAGTCCAGGTAAGCGTCCACGAGCAAGTCTATTTGGAGATGCCAGTGATTTGTTTGGCTTTCTGTGCGGTCCTCCCAAGTGCGGTGATCAATATAGCGGCTGGTGGATGGCATGAGCAATGATAGAGACAGATGAAAAATACATACTAGCCACTAATGTCCGCTATTTGACCAGCCAGTCCTTCAAATGCCTCATGTTCCCCACCCGCATGGCTCCATTCCATCCCTTCCTCTCCTGGAGGTGTGGTGTATGGTATTGCTTCGACATCCATTCCATAGTCAGTCATCATGTTCTCCACCAACTGGTGTTCTTCGCTCGACATCTCTAAGAGAAATCAGTGTTAGTTAGAAGCAAGTGATAAAAACATGAAGACATACCTTGGACTTGAGCCTGACGGCTTACATTTGCTGCCTCCTTGCATTGAAGCTGACAGCTAGCTGTCAGGATACGAGTCTGGCGATATCACCCTCGAATGTCATGTGAGATGATAGATTTTGAGAGGCCCTTGATTTTAGAATGACTCCCTGCGCAAGACATGAGGAGTCGGTGGGATGGTTGGCGACTCTGTGGGCGTATGTGAGTAGCTGAGACGTCCAGAATATGAATAGTGCGATCCCCAAGTGATGAGTGAGTGTAGGCGAGTAGCTGAGACCAGGCGGAGTTGGGCGTTGTAGAATATGGTTGGAGACGGCTGTCAAGAGCAGTTGATAGTGTCCGTCGGGCCACCCGGACATGACGACAAGTGGCATATATATATCAGAGACATTTTGCAGTACCTGACTCCTTTTCCCCTTTTCTCAACCTTACTTAAGACATCGAATATCCGTCAACGCACCTCAGTCCGTTTCCCCGTGACTGAGGTGCGTATCGTTAGTTTCCTCTTTGTTATATCATCGTACTCACTACATGTACACATAGGCTCGTGTCTAGGTTCGTAGCGATACGTTAATAGAGTCTGTTTCCCCGTGACTGAGGCTCGTGTCTAGCTCTCACCTCTTACAGGTTATGAGCCCTGCATAAAGGATAGCAGCACTATCTTACATCTCTCTTGCTCAAACTGGCATTTCTCGAAACACCCGTTTCTCCATCGCAGTTCCTGACCAGTTCAGACCAATATCGAAGCTGTCACCCCTCATTGACTATATATCACCTCTAATATTACCATGACGACATCTTCGGACACTCTCCCGAAAACTGAAAAGTACCCACACGAGAAGCTTACCCTCGATGGCTCTAACTATTCTCAATGGGCTACTGGATTCAAAATGTGGGCCGGTGGGCTCGGACTATGGCCCTACATCAGCGGAGATGAGAAGGAGCCCTCACCCCCTGCACAACTTACTGACCCAGACCAGAACATCCTTCGGAAGGAGAAGCACGATGAACGTGTGAGGTTGTACAAGCAGCACCGGCTACTTGCCCTCAGTGCGTTGTCCACTGCCATAGACACCCAGGACTTCATGTACCTTCGTGACACAGAGGACCCGAACATAGGCTGGGAGGCTCTGGCCGGAAAGTACTTACCCCAGAAGGCTATCTGTTTCAACCAGTACCTTGATCGGCTATTCACCATCCCGAAGGCACACGATAGCACCTCCATTGCCGAGGTGCTCCAGAGCCTCGTTGTGCTAAAATCTGACCTCACAGCCCTCTCTATTAGCCCTCCAGCGGCTGCAGCAGCAGCCACAGCTGTCCCAGCTCCGAACGAATACAAAGTTCTGGATGCCATATTTGTCCACATCCTGCTACGTGCACTCCCCGACTACTATGACCCATTCCGTCAAACCCTGATCAACAGTAGCACATCCCTCGACTTCAACGACATCGTAAACCATCTGAAGACCCAGGAACTTCACCGCACCGCAAACGGTGGTAACGCTGAACATGCTGCAATGTTCTCTGGACATCAGGGAGCTGCGAGCGGTCCTCCCAAAGCTGATTGTATTCCCCCAAAGGGTTTCGATGAGTCGAAAGGAGATGGGTGGATAGTTGGATGGCGCCCGAAGTGTGGGCATTGTGCTAAAGCCGGTCATATATGGTTGCAATGTCGTGCACGCCTCTCAAAGGACGAGAAGAACCCGAAGTCAGCCAAGCCTCTTTCTTCCTCTGCCGCTATTGCTACTAACATGGAAGTCTCTACGGCAGACCAACCTGACACGAATGCCATATCACACCCTCCATTCATTCTCTCCCTAAAAGAGCACTCTGCCAATATCTCGTCCTCTCTTACTGTGCCCACGGGCTCTCTTCATGTAGACTCTGCTTCCACGGCTCATATGGAGCCTGATATATCACACTTTGCTCACTATACGAAGCTCCATGAGCCAATCCATGTGAAACTTGCCGACAACCATGTGGTCTTAGCTCCCGGCTGGGGTACAGTAAGACTTTCCCTGCGGTACGAGAAAACCTTGACGGACCGGGACTTCGACTTCCTCCATGTCCCTGACCTCCGGTGTACCCTCGTTTCCGTGTCGTGTCTCGCGTCTGAGCGTATCTCATTTATTTCTTCCTCGAAAGGGGGCATGCTTAGTGCTAATGATGGCCATGGGCCTCCTCTTGCCCATGTCCACCCCCGCAACGGATTGTATCTGCTCGACGCTACCTACGCCAACGGGAATGCTGCTGCATCAGCGATGCTTGTGAGGTCACCATCTGTTGCCTTGTCTTTGCACACTTGGCATCGGAGATTGGGTCATGCTGGTTTCTCAACGGTACTGAAAGCTAGTGAACATGCTGACGGGATCTCCATTGACCCTGCCTCTCTACTTGATGCCGGTGATGGTGCTGACTCTATCCACTGTGTGTCATGCCTCATGGGCAAACACAAACGCTCACCCTTTCCTACTGCTGCGCAATGCGCTTCTGCCCCTGCTGAGCTCGTGCATTCAGACGTTTGGGGGCCTGTGAACATCACCTCTTCCTCTGGTGACTCATACTTCGTCGTCTTCACTGACAACTACACACGCTACTCACTTGTCTACCTCATGCGTGCAAAGTCTGAGGTCTTTGAGCTTTTCAAGAAGTTCGTCCCATGGATGGAGACTCAGTCTGGAGGTCGCATCAAGCGTCACCGTAGTGACAATGGCAGAGAGTATGTATCGAAGGAGTTCCTACAGTACTTGACGGAGCGCGGCATCGAGCATGAAGTCACCATGCCCTACACGCCGCAGCAGAATGGTGTCGCTGAACGCAGTCATCAGACTGTCGTAACCCATGCCCTCAGCTGCCACCACCAGAGCGGGTTCCCTCGTTTCCTTCTGGGGCTGGGCGATCCTGCATTCTGCACACATCAAGAATGTCCTTCCCTCCTCAGCTCTTGATGGCCGTTCTCCGTTTGAGGCCTTCTATGGCCGCAAGCCCGACATCAGCTATCTCCGCCCATTCGGCTGCCTCGCCTACTCCCATATCCCTGACGACACCCGTCACAAGTACGAGTTTGTCTCTCGCCGGTGCTTCTTGTTAGGCCATGTGCGCAATGCTGGCTATGTCCTATGGGATGCGTCAGCCAAACGCGTCGTTCGGTCTCGTCATGTCCATTTTGACGAGTCTGTATTCTACGGTGACCCTGCCTTGTCCCCCCTACACCTGCTCGTGGGTGATGCTGACCCTGTACCTGTTGTCAGCGCTTCAGTGGGAGGTACCCCTCCATCTGGTGAGCCACCTGTGACCCCTGCTGTCACGGCTGTGCCGCAGGTGTCAGTGGGAGGAGATGGCAACCCACTAGCTGCACCACCAAATGCGCCGCCAGCACCACCAGACGCGATGCCACCAGCACCACCTCCTGACGCACCAGCACCACCAGCTCTACGCCGAAGTACACGCCCACATCAGCCGACACGTCAGACTGATCCAAGCGGACCCAGCGCCATGGCCATACCCACCAAACGTGTTCCAGTAGCTGAGCGCTGGACCTACGTCCCAGTACCCCCAGAGGCTGTACCAGAGCCGAACGAGTCCGCAATGCACACATCGACAGACACACCTTCCATTCCTACACCTCCCTCCTCACCTTCCACTCCTACACCTCCCAAACCCATCATACCAGAATCCATCAACAAGGCACGATCCCTACCCGAGTGGCCACTATGGTCAGACGCCTGCAAGTCAGAACTGCAGTCCATGCGAGACTTGAAGACTCACCCCCTGATGCCACTTCCAGAAGGGAGGAAGGCCATTGGATCCAGGTGGGTATTCTCTGTGAAGTCAGACGAGGATGGCAACGTCACTCAGCACAAGGCTCGTTTCGTTGTGCAGGGTTATACTCAGGTTGAGGGGATCGACTACACGGAGACCTTCACAGCAGTCGCTAAGTACGACACCATTCAAATCCTCCTTGCACTGGCAGTGAAGTTCGACCTTGAGTTAGACCAGATGGATGTACGTACAGCTTTCCTTAACGCTGAACTCAAGGAGGACATATACCTCAAGCAGCCAGCTGGTTTCGAGGATCTGGAACATCCGGACTGGGTTTGGAAGCTGGAAAAGGCGTTATATGGGTTGAAGCAGGCCGGCTATGAGTGGAACCAGATGCTTGACGAGTATCTGCGGAGGGAAGGTTTCAAATTCGTTCGAAGCGAGGCTGATCACAGTCTGTATGTCCTCCATGAAGGAGACAAGGTTATTTGGCTTGTCGTATATGTCGATGACATGCTCACCGCATCGAATTCTCGCGACTACCTGAACTCCTTCAAAGTACGACTCAAGCAGCGCTTTGATCGTGCAGATCTCGGCCCCACTAGACACTTCCTCGGCATGCACATCACTCGT